CTGTGTCTTCCTTGGTGACAGAGTTCAGCTGCAGGGAGAACTGGTTTTTGCCTGTGCATCTGGAAATAGAGATGCGGCTCTTGAGGGAAGGGCTGTAATCAGTGCCACCACTGATACTTATGTTCCCCATCCACTCCAGGCTCTTTCCTGGAGGCTGATGGATCCAGCTCCAGTGATAACCTCTGGTTGTGATGGAGAATCCAGAGACTGAGCAGGTGAGGGACAGAATCTTCAAGGGCTTCACCAGGCTAGGCCCTTACTCCTGAAGCTGCACCTGAGACAGGACACCTGGAAGCAAGGGTAAAATTCCTATCAGCCCCCTGCTTTTCTAATCTTCCCATTGACCCATGTCTGACACTGAGCACACTCACCATGCGGACCTGTCACCAGGCACAGGAGAAGACCCAGAAGTTTCATATTCTAGGCCACACCTTTACCTTCTGCAGAGATTTTAGAGGTGTCTGAGGAAGGAGCTGTCCATTCCACCAGTTCAAGAGGGGAATTTGAGTCTAGATTTGGGAGACAAATTTGCATTAGGGAGGCTCCTTTTCTTATGATGGTGACGTACAGGTCAGGATGTCTCTGATCTATGTGATGCAGAAAGGAATCTCCTCCCCTGCACTCCTGTGGTGTCCACATCTGTGAGAGGTGGCAAGCTGCCTTCCCTGCAGTGGAGGAAGCATGGCCATGACCCCTCCTTCCTAATCCTACACCAGCTTCCTCCAGTCCTGCTCCCTTTCTGTTCCCATCCTGACTGTGCCCTCCTACAGGAGCTCTGGTGCTGCTTCCACAGGATGAAGATGAGCATAACTCCCTCCACCTGTCCCGACCTCTCGCCTCTGGTGTGGTCTGTGTTGCTGGAGAGCTCACTTCACCACCATTAACTTTGTCAGGAGAGGTCTTCCTGCCTCCTGCTCTGAGACACCAGGTCTCACTGACCAGAGCCCACAGCGACTGGAGATGCGGATGTGTGTCCTGTGCCTCCCTCACAGAGAAGCCTCACTGGGGGAGGGAAGGAGGTTGTCTGTGCTAAGTGTCCCTTCCCTACCTGACCTTGTGTAGCTGCTGGCTATCTTTTCCTTTCGAGCTTCCCCTTCATCTGTTGTTTCATGATTCCTAAATTTCAAGTGCTTATCTAATTACAGTTGTCCCTTTCTGAACAATTATCCAGTATAAAAACTATGCTCATCATGACAATATACCTAAAATTAAAACTTACGTCTGACGTTCCAATCTTTTTCAGCCAGAAGCATGCAGTACTTGGTCACTGTTGGTACACTGGGGATTCGGTGAAATGTTTTCCAGTCTAGTGCAGCAAGAACTCCCATGATTCCTTGCCACTCAGTCCCACAGCAAACACTTTATAAATTTGCTAAGGTTACCACAAAGAGATGGAATCTACCAATGTCATTAATTAGATCTCCCAAATTTATTCCTGTGTGAGCTCACATCCTTATCAATTCATCTGAGAATCAGGAAAGTGGGGCTGAGGATTCCTGAGTGAGTCATGATGGAGATCTGAGCCCAGCTCCATCCCACCTAACTGGGAGACCCTGAGCATGGGGACTGTGCATTCTGACCTCCAGTGTGCAGAGGAGCAGATTCTTGATGAAGGGGTCACTCTGTGTGGGACCTCTTCATCGGGGACACACAAATGTCCAACATCATCACCACTGCCTTGAGTGCTATTTGTCTACTTTGGAAAAGGAAAAGCCCCATGGAAATCTTATGTGTAATCTACAAGACTAGGTCTGCTGTGCTATTATGTCACACCTGTGACTGGGATGGGACCCTGCCCTTCAGTGCACTGTCCTTTCAATGTATTGACTGATCTCTATCCATGTCTTCTGAAATTCTTATTTCACCATGTCACTCCCTGGATAGAGACCTCAATCTGGCATATTGCACTCTGTTTACAATTATCATTTTTAAAGATATTTTTCATTAGTGCATATTTTCAGTATATAATGATTACATTTATCAGGGTTAGTTAGACAATACAATTTTACCCTTTTTACCCCCCTCCTCAATCTATTCAAATCAGGTAGCCTGCATGCAGGTAACAGTCCAGTCAACAATAATAAGGAGAAATAGATTAGCAGGCTGTACGTGGACTCTCAGGGTAGGATCAGGTCAGGCAGGTGGAGCTGTTCTGAGTCCTAGTAAGAGAGCACTGACCCTGACATCTAGAAGTAAGTGTGTCTGTACCTCTCTGGGTAGGAACTGGTTCTGATCTTTGATACCAGACCCCTATACCTCCTTGCTCTGAGGTCATGCTTAGAGTTACTCCTGCATCCACGGTTCTGATCTCTATTCTGAATTACATGACTTTTAATGGATTTGTAGGAAGACAAATATATTCCACAGAGAGAAGAATAAACATTCAGTTATGCATAAGCTTTCATGGTGGGGAGGGGGGGTCACAGGCTCTGCTAAATCCTTGGGAGGCCAATGAGCATTTGTTCACTAAGGTTAGGAAAGTGCCTGTTTCCTTTGTGGGTTTTTAAACTGACAACCATTTCCTGTAATCTACATCGTGTTACAGTTCTGGTGGGAAGATCCAACAATTAACAGCCACTGACACAGGAAGAGGAAAACCCCTGGAAGGTAGCAGTGAGGAGGAAGTTGATAACCAGGGACTGAGGCAGTCTTGGATTTCATAAGTAGGAAGTGAGGATGGCTCACTGATGGATTTCCCTCCATGATGACATGAGAGCATAAACTAAGTGTGGGAGGTGAACTTTGTGAAACACATCTGAGAAGAAATGAGGCTGTTCATAACTGTCAGATCAGGAATGTAGAGACACAGTGATACAGAGGAGCAGCAGTGTTGCTGAATAAAGCCCAGCTGAGGTGCGTGGTGAGATGAACACGCAAGAGCTCCATGTTCCTCCTGGTTCCATTCACTACTTTTCTTTTTACAACATTAATGCTAAATTTGAACTCTTACCTGAGCAAGATTTCTAAGGTCTCAATTTGAAAATGGTATCTGCACAATCATGACTCAGAGCAACAGAGATGAATGAAACAGAGGGAAACTCATAAAATATTTCAGATTTTCAGGAATCTCCAGGAAGCTGTAATACAGAAGGTGCAGTGGCGAGGATCAGACACCATCTCGGGGAAGGGCATATTCTCAAAGATGGGGAGGTCCTGGGTAGGAAACAACAGATGCCCCAGAGACATCACATCAAGAAAATGAATTCTCAGTCCTTAACCACAGGACACATCAGTGAGGATGCTGGACCAGATGAGGAACAGAGCAGGGTAAGGAGGTGGAGGTGTGTTAGCTTCTGGGGATGAGTGTGAGGGTGAGGTCCTTGGTCACATCTGAGAGATGGGGTCTGTGTGTGAGAATGTCAGCTCTGCTCTGCCTTCAGGAGCTATGGATGTGCATGCAAGTGATTTGGTGCTGTTCACTAGGGACCTGGTCACAGAAAACTGTAATGATAAGAGTGATATTAGTAACCATTGGAGTATATTTGATTGTTTTAGAAAAATTTCCAAATACATGGATGACTGTCAAATGCAGAATTAAGTGAGATAAAATAAAATGCATCAAGGCAGAATCATGAGAATCCATTTAGGAAAAACCATGAACTCTGTGAGACTGGAGGGTTTCATCTCATCTATTCTCCATTGTTTTCCTGATAGACTGAAAAGGAGAGATGAATAAGAAAGAGACAACACAGGAGAACGGAGGAGCAGTAGCAGCAGAGGAGAACTCCTCCTTGACTGCTATCCAGACCCTGGATCACAGCAACATGAGGGAGAGCAGGAAGACAGAATTGAGGCCCATGGACACGGGAAGGGTCGCACTTGTGAGTTGAAATCCATGGAGAGAGAGAATTCAGGGACCAAGCAAGAATAAGAGAGTCAGGGGTGCTGGTCTGGCTGGATGAGGAAAACAGCTGGAAGCAGCGCAGTCCCTTCACCTCATGTGCTGGTGGAGGCCCTGTCAAGTGGGGAGAAGCAGCAAGGAAGCCGTGCAGCCTATCCCTCTTGCCCCTCAGTGACACACACATAAGCAATGGGGCGCAGTGCAGGCTAGGATGTTACTGATTGAAGTAAGGCAGCGACCTGACACTTAAATTGTTTGACTGACTTTGCAAGCCTGGGGCCAGAGCCTGAGCAACTAATTAGAGGATGAGGTTATGCAGTATAGTAACAATGGTGAGTCTCCTACTGTCCTATCACTGTTCTGTTTTGTTTCACTTTACTGTTCTATTTTATTCCTGTAAAGTAAAAATGTAAAAAAAAAACAGGAAAAGAAAGTGGTGCAACAGAGAGAAATGGAGATTAAGATAGAGAATGGTTTTGCTGTATTTTATAAATTTTTTAATTTGTAAGGTACAAAAGAAAGGCACAGGACCAAGTCCTACTCAGCTGTCTTGTCTAGGAAGAGCACATTTGGGCCCACAGATACTGCCCTGAGTCCAGTCAGGCTGACCCTCTCCCTCCTCCCCTGAGCTCAGGGCTCCTCATGGTGCTGGGGCTCTGCCTGGGCAACAGGTCTCCTGAGGTGACCAAAGAGGGGAGGGAGCTGTGTGATCTGAGATCCCACAGAGAGAGATGGGAAGGATTTAATTTCCTAATCTGAAGCATTTATTACTGCGTGAGATAGTTCCTCATCACCCAAACTAAACCAGCAGATCCACTTTTAGATGATGAGAATATGACACTGGAGAAATATTAACTATATAAAAGGCACAGGTTAGTTGAGATGGGTGCAAGTAAAATTCATACACAGAAAATGAAAATAATATCAGTTCTTATGTACTCACACAATTACATGTAACAGAGAATTTTCCCTTGAACTTGGGTACTTCATTGTGGGTCAATTCAGGACCTAAGGCCTTAAAGCAGAAGGGAACCCCAGAGGCCCCAGGAAGCCCTCTCTCTTCTGCTTCCTTCTCTGCACCTGCTCCTTAGGCCCTGCATAGTTCTCCTCGACCTCTGCTGGGCATGTGCTCCATTGCAGTGAGGTTTTTGGGTTCACACTAATGTTCCCTCACTGTGTGTTTGGCACAATAATACACCGCCGTGTCCTCGGTTTTCAGGCTGGTCATCTGCAAATACAGCGTGTTCTTGCTGTCGTGTCTGGAGATGGTGAATCGGCCCTTCACAGAGTCTGCATAGTGTATCCTACCACCAGTACTGATGTATGAGATCCACTCCAGCCCCTTCCCTGGAGCCTGGGGTATCCAGCTCATGTCATAGCTACTGAAGGTGAATCCTGAGGTCACCCAGGTGAGTCTCAGGGACTCCACTAGCTACTCCTCAGCCTGGACATCTGAAAACACAAGAACATTCTGTTCAGGAAACTGTCACACATGTCCACTGTTTATCCCAGACATGTCCATTTTCCCATTCTGTATCCTTTGTTCTCAATAATTTACCTTTCAGAAGTGCAAACAGAAAAACCCAACTCAGCCCAAACTCCATAGTGATTGTCTGTGCTCAGTCTGGATCACCAAGTGGGAACAGCTGGGCATCGAGGGCTGGGTTCCTTTGCAGAGCTGCAGGATGAAGGCTGGGCTTGTTTTCATGAGCACAGGGAGGCCCTATTTGCATGGCCTCCTGCTATATAGACAGCTCTGGGCATGAAAAACTCAGAAAGCACAGAGCTCCCATTTGATGTTAATGTGCTGAGAATGTTTGGCTAAATGATGTCATTCAAGACAACATAAAAACTCATCATGAGATGAATTGTTGGTCTTTATCTCTTTGTCTATCTTTATTTTTCGTGTACTCATAACATGATTATTTATATTTTTCTGCCTTGGAAATTTGTAAATTTATCAAATTGTCAGGAACATTTTCCTTTCCTATAGGAGAGCTGATGTGCTGTAAATGTTCTCCCAATCTCTGGGCCTACGCTCTCCTAAGCTGTGAACAAACTGCTTCTTGTTACACGTCCTGGATAGATCACACACACCTGGGATGACTGTCTTCCCCTCTTCCTACAGGGAGGACATGTGTGACTTTGCTGCATTCTTCTGTCTGCTGAGAGAAAACACAGGCTTTGTCCATGTGGATGCCTGCTACTGAGGCTCTTAGTTTCACCTCTCATGAACTCTCTCACTCTTTCTGTGTGTTGAGCCTTTGTGTGTCTGTGATAGCTTCATTAGACATAACACATAAACTTCCCATAGAAAAAGTGTGCACCTGAGAAGGATTTAAACACAGGAACACTTGTACCACATCCCACACAATCTCAGCAGTGAACTCATGGGTCATCCTCAGTGTATCCTGAGGCTACTCTGCAATCCCTCCCTCCCCTACTCCCCTCCCGCATCCCATCTCCAGCAAGTTTGTGACCATCCTCAGGTTGCTTCACATTAACTTTCCTATTTCAACATATATACTAAGAGCATACCCCTATAATGCTGGTTATGTTTAACACAGAATATTTATTTGAGATATCTGTATATGACTATATGAACGAGCAGTCACAGATATTTAAGCTGATTCACTCACAAATATGTAAAAATAAAACTGGAGATACAGCTCAGTGCTAGGCTATTTGCCTATTGATTCTGAGGACTTTTCTTCCCCAGAAAGGTAAAAATAATCAGTAAATTAATGGTTAAATGCTTCAGATTAATTCCTCAGGTAGTCTGTTAGTGTTCATTTAAGTGTTCCAAGCTTCTGGTTATTACAAAGTGTTCCAAGCTTCTGGTTATTATCTCATCATCATCTTCAAAATGTAGACACACCAAAAAAGTTGTTTTTAAATAGCAAACAGTACAACCATAAAAAACTGGATTAACTAAATCAATAATTTGTAACCACATAAAAGGAATGAAATTATAAGGCAAAAAATATACAGAATTTGGGGATACAAGCTTTACATAATAAATAGGATGAAACTTTATCTACCCAGGTCCCAGGTCATCCTAGGCCATGTGATCAGGTGATTAACCTGGAAGCAATTTCTGGATTACTAAAGGCTGCGTGTGCTGAAATGTCAGAATGTTAACAGACAGGTGCAGAAACTTAGGGGGTGAGCATGTCTATGACAGCCCCTGTAAAAATACTCCACAAGAGCAACTTACATTAAATACATGTTTTGTCTTACATTTCTGGTCCTGGAAGTTCAAGAGCAGGCAATGACGGAGCTGCTATCCGGCAGGATTCAGCTGTGTGCTCTAACTCTTGTCTAGTTTCTGCACCCTCAGATAGTGGAAGAGATGCACACTGGGTCCCTCCATTGCAGGGAGGCAAAACAAGAGATCAGCTCATGTCTCAACTGATTTCAACTAGGAACTCTGCTCTCTTCCAGGCAAATCTCTCAAACAAGACTCCACGTGGTAATGACGTCCTCCAGGGGACTCATGAGCTCCCGTATGGAAACACTGGGAGCCTAGGCTCTCAGACCTAGCTCTCCATCCTCTTCTCCATCCTCCTTCTATCTCTTACTGAAGTCATTTTACTCTTTCTTAATGGCCCCAAAGCTTTCAATCTGTCTAGTACCAAATTAAAGGTCGAATGCAAATATCCTCTAAATAAATGAAGGGTGACTGAAGCCTGAAGTATCCTTGACTGCTTTTTATGATGATGACTCTGTAGGTCAAGGTTTTGCAACAAATAAGACCACAGACGTGCACTCTGTGGCTGCTCTGCCCCGGATCCAATCCCACTCTTGTGCTGGCGTCATTTTTCGGAAGGCTCTGCAGTTTCCTACCTTCTGTGCGGTTCACTTCCTGCACCTGAGTTGGTCTGGGTCTTGCTCTGACAGCCAGATGGAGCAGTGAAGGATGAAGAGATAAGGGTTGTTTAGTTTCACATGATGAGCTTGATGGTGAAGTCCATTGTGACTTGAGAGAGGCAGGTATTTCAGTGTCAGGACATCACTAGCTCTGCCTTCAGGAGTCATGAATGTGAAGGGGTCAGCAGTGTAGGTCATTTCCTTCAGGTCAGTGTATTCTTAACTCACAAGAAACTGATTATAGGAGGGAGACATTATTTAGTTTTCAGAAGTCATTTCCTATTTCATGCAACATCACATACAGATGAGTGATTGATAATTACACAAGTAATGAAGCACAATAAAGAAACTGAGAGCTCTGGCAAATATAAATGAATTTTGTGAAAATATGGGCATTCAAAGTTTAAATATACTTTTCTTAAATGAAATGGATATGTGTATCGAAATCCCTCTGTGTGTGTGTGTGTGTGTGTGAGAGAGAGAGAGTCTCCAAATTCTTTCTAGTTTGTACCCCTGCTCCATATTTAAAACTCATTTTTGCTATTTCTAGTTTTCAAAACACACAATGCACTAACTGTTTTGCAAGATTGCTTATAGCAGAATGATCATCAAATCTGATTCTGGTGTAGCAAATGCATCACCAGGCCAAGCGCTCCCCAGAAATCCCGCTTGAGAGGGGAAATGCGACTAAAGTCACTGCAGGGCCCTGTTCCAGCTAGTCTGCCTGTTCCCAGAATGTCCTCTGTTGGAGCCTCCTAGCCTATGAAAGGGTCCCCATTTCTCTCACTCACCGCAGGTTGATGCAGAGCTCCCTAGCAGTCCCCCTCTCAATGCTCTTTGGTTTGTCGATTCCCACTCTCAGAGCTTTCGCGCATCTCTCTCCCTGCCGGGCCGATTGGGACCTAGTAGCAGCAGCAGGAAATTCAAATTGTGGCTTCCAATGGTGCGGGATCCAGCTTCCACGCTGAGATTTTATCTGTTCCTGTTATAGCCTGAGGATTGCATTTCCAGTTGGTTTCTCTCAGTTCAGTTCCTGGGTTGGCAGGGTACATCTCCCCTTGCTTAGGGCTCCTCACACGGCACCGCTCCTGGATTCTAAGCTGGTAATCTCAGAAAGCCTCCGTGGCTGCTGTCATTTGTCGCCATGTTCTCCCGGAAGTCCCTTGTATTATTCTTATACATCTGTGCATGGTTTCCACATTAGTGTATTGCTAGAACTTTACAGTAGTTTTTGAACTTTAAATTTGTTTTCTGGACTGTTTGCTTGCTTCAGAAATGTATTATGTGTTAGCTCTTTTGATTTATCTTTTACGATGGCACTTTGCAGGAATTTTACCCACATACAGTGAGAGCAAATTGTAAGTACACAGCTGAGTGGGATTTTCAGCATTAAGTTATTTGTGACTCTCTTCTAAGAGCACTTACTCTGCATGTTCAGCATTGTAAGGAAATTCATGATATTTATTTTTAAAAAAAATTTTAAATTCATGATATTTCTATATTTTCCCTGTGTAATCCATGTCCTTACATCACTGGAAGGTACAACTATTTTCTGGATGTAATGCCACAAAAAATGTGGATATTACATATCTGTAGATTTTTTGTATTTATGGGATTTTTTATATTTATGACTGTTTTTGAAGGAACATTCATGCAATCACAAAGATATAAATTTCATTTCCTTTATGGATGAAGGATATCTCGCATGTGGACATAAGTTATTTGATTGCCCTCTCTGAAGTGATGGACTTTTGGGTAGTTTCTAAGTTTGGTTACCAAGAAGAATTTTTACAGGAACCTCAGGTTGCAAAATGTTGTATAAATATGCAGTTTCAATACTGTTGGCTAATTACCCAACTGTAAAGTCACATGAGGAATTCCTTGTGTTAATTTTAAAAGATACTAATCTACTAGATGAGCTAGGAAATCTGTCACTTTCACCAACATTTTTAAGGACTCTAATATTTCCACATCCACAGTAGTCTGTGTATTTCCTGTAGTTTGTAGCCTAACCACAGAAAGTGGCATAAAATGCAAACACCTGAAATTGTTTTGCTAAGCATTGAATTTGGATAAAATCTTCTTTATTTTAGGAACCTTAAGAAAAATTTCCAGAAATGGGAAACCCATAAGGACAGAAATAGTTTTGTTCTCATGTGGTGGAATTAGGTAGTGGGCTGTGCAAGAATGGACTGGACAGCGAAAAATGTGGTGTCCCTTTGGAATTTAGAAATATGATTTAAAAGGACTTTGTGTGGATGGTTGCAGTTTTCATAGCATAAATTCACAAATAATGACCTTTAAACTTTTAATTGGTGACATTTTTGATATACAAGTTATTTCAATAAGTTTGTCAATGATTATCAGATTAATGCTTATAAAATGTTATTATCCTAACATCTATGTAGAACATGTAATGAAAGACACACAGGGCCCATTATTACTCTACTTCCATAGAGGAAAGGAAGATGAGGAGTGAGGAGGACCAGGGTCTCAGCAGCTCTCTGTGGATGGCTCTCTGTGCA